GAGAAGGGAATTTTTTTTTTTTATATATATACATATGTGAAATAATCTGTGAAATAATCAATTTATCCACATCTTTGCTTTGACATGATTTCTAATCATTTTATTAACTTTGTGTTGTAATTTGCTACTTAAAAGTAGTTCAACCTTTATATATGTCCACACAAATGAACCTCCTGCCACAATGTTTAATTCCTAACACGAAGTCATGGTTGCTCTGAAGACTTCTGATTGGCTGACAAGTTCTAGCTTTGCATTACACTGCCCCCTGTGTGTCTGGCATGTTTAAAGCAACACTCGTGGACGGGTTTATGGATGAAACCTTTTTTTGAAACAGATCCTGTGTGTACGATATATTTTTAACGATGTGGCGGAAATATTCGGTTTTATAAAGACTGGGCTACATAAGAGGCCTAAATGTGTGAACCTGCTTTCCCCCTCGCTGCCTCGGGTTTTTGAGAGCATGATTTAAGCTCTTCCTCTTGTTTTAAGAACACAAAGAAATCCTTTTATCTGCTACTGCGAGGCCTCTTCTCTGCTCTCGTCTTCCTAGAGCATCATCCGCCCCTCTCTGTCTCCTTCTCCATAACGCTATCTCTAAAATCATAAAAATCCTTCAGCCACATCCTACTCCTCTAAAGCGAATTTAATTCCGAGCAGAGTGAGACGCGCCGTACATCAGGTAATGATGGATGCTGCTCGTCATGTGAGGGAAATGTGCAAGCTGAGCAAATCCACAACTAATTATTTCCCAAGCATAAGTAATGAAAAGAGGCTTTTCTGACAGCAGTAGAGATCCCATGAGTCAGGAGAGAGGAATTAATAATGGGAGTGGGGAAAAAGAAATCCTTAGATATACTTTGAAACACTGCAAACGAGAAAAGTAAACAATAATTAGCAGCGTTCTGAAACCTGAGAGGAGTGTGCAAATAATGAGAAAATTCAACACTTTTTTTTCCCAAGTGCATAGTTTTGTAAGTCCAGCAGTACCTGTTGCTGTTATGCTACAGCTCAGAGGTACAGTGGATACATTTGAGTAGAGCTTAACAGTGAAAAATATGTGGATTTCAAAAAGTGCGGAAAGCAAACAAGCACATCTGGAAAGTATTCACGTAGCTTCGTTTTTCTTTTGCTACAGTCTTAATCCAAATTGCGTTACATGAATCTCTTTCCTCAGAATTCAACTTTCTGGGAGCATTTTACAATGATAACCCAAAGTCAAAGCCATCGCAATCACGTGTCTTCAGAAGTAACCTGCTTTGTCAAGAGTTTGATCCTTTGTGGTGTAAATTTATCATTTAACAAAGAGCATCATAAAAACCAAAGAACACAGCCAACGGGTCAGGCATGCTGTTAAAGTTTAAAGCAGAGTCAGGCTATAACACCACACTCCAAGGTCTAACATCTCATGTAGCAGTGTTCAGTTCACCACCTGAAAATACGAGAGAACACGGCATCGCTGTAAATCTACCAAGACGTGGCAGGTTACCTGAAAGGTCGGCCCATCAGAGTCTCAATCAGAGAAACAGCTCAGAGCATAACCCCGACCTCCTGCTCCGGCTTCAACAAAACAATCTGTTGACAGCACAAATACTGACTGTGGTCTTCAAAAAAATCCCAAAAGTGAGAAAAGAAAAAAAGAATAGTAAAACATCCAGTTTGGTGTCTGACACAAGCATGTAAGACACACAGCAAACATTCTCTAAGCGCTTTGGTCAAATAATCAAAAGTGACATTTTTGGCATGGATTTTTAATGCCAAAAAAACCTGTGTGGAACTATAACACATTACTCTAACCACACCATCCCAATGGTGAAATGCTGTGGAAATGACTTCACTTAGCAGTAATAGGGAAGTTTGTCAGACTTAATTAGAAGATGGATGGAGCTAGCATTAGCCTGGAAGAAAAGCTGTTTAAGGCAGGAAAAGAAATGTGAAAGTGGAGCAGAGGTTCAGGACGACCCTGAAATAAACCTCACGGTTTGGATAGAATTCCTGAATGTTCCAGCTTCAGACCCAAACAATGAAAATGTAAGAGGGCCGTGATCCAGAGACAACACAATCTGCATCCACAGCCAGTTTATTTACTATTAAATGTTGCTTTCATTTCATTTATTGCTTTCATTTATTTTCAAGTCCTGTCACCTTTTATATTGTTAAAATACTAATCATTTCCTGTCATTTTGTGGCATTTTCATTCATTTCTGAAGGGCATGTCAAGACCCCCAAATTTCCATGTTCAGGATCCTGAGTGGAGTCCCAAACCCCCACTTTGGGAACCACTGGTTTATATCGAAGCACATTCATGAGTTAAAAACCAACTGCGACTCTCTTGCTGTGTAAATCTAGTAGAAAACCAAAAACTTGCTGAGGCATTTCCAGCAAAAGGAGTCCCTCTCACCTGCGAGGCGAAGGGACGCAGAGTTGTAGATGGCTTCGTCTCGCAGCTCCCTTAAGTATATGGTTACTGTGGAGACGGCGTCGGGCCAAATCCCATCAGATACGCGGACCTGGAACTGGTAGGTGCCGGGTGGGGTGTTCTCCTTGATGATAAGGAACCCGGTACGCTTGTTCAGGATGAAGTAACTGGGGGAAAACACAAATACGAAATTTAATCAATGTCAGTGTTACAAAAGAGCACATGCTGTTTGGTGCATCAAGTACAGTTGTGAAAAGCTTTCCATGCCAACCTGGCTTTAAGTGGAACAAGTAATCGCCCCCTTTATTAAAACTATTAACAATGGTATTAACTTGGTCAAGTTTTACGAGTCACACTTTGGCCTGCCACATGTCTAGCCTGTAGAATTAAAATGCAGTAATCACATAAAAGAACCTGTTTGACAATATGAAGTAGGCTAAAAGATCTGGAAAAACACATTTAAATACAGATAATTTCCCAAATAAAACAAAATTAAGAAAGGAGGAGTAAACAGTGTGATATCACAGTGAAATCCATTATCAGTTTATATGGAACCGTGGTGAACAATGGCTGGTCTTCCAACATTACTCCAAAGACTCATTAACAGCTGATCCAAGAGTGACAAGAGAACCCAGAACACCCATTAATTGTCCCAGTTAATGCACATTTTCGCCTTTACTGGCTGTCAATTCAGTACAAATAAGTATAAAAATACTGTGGGACTCGACTAAAATTTTTAATCGAGATACTAATAGATAAAGGAGCTGAAAGACAAATATAATTATTGTTTTTAATCTGTTATTTAGGTTCTCATATCATCACACTGGTGCCAAGTGTTATTCTACCCATTCAGCATTCAGGAGTTTGAGGAACCCTGATCATTCATGGAACTTCTTTAGAAATGTGGACTGTGGACGCTGACGTTAGCGTTGGGATGTTGCTGCTACATGTTTAGCACTGAGATGATATTTTAGACTTGAATAGCTTTGCTGATAAACTAACTGCATTTAGGACAATTTGAACACAACAGTAGACTTTTCCAGTGTCCCATCAGATCGGTTTACAAGCAGAAATTATCCCCCACCAGAGCAGCAGCTTTGTTGTCTCTTGTTGTTGTCTGGGGACAACGCTTGTGTGTTAGATTTACTGGTGAACCAGAAACATCCGATTACCAAGGTTCCGGTCGGAACCTTTGAAAGTAAAAAAAAAAAGACGTTACGTTAATTAATTATGTTAACATTTTTAATCATAATTAATGTGTTAAAGTCCTAGCCCTAGAAAAAAGACGTCTTGATGACATAAATGAAGAATTACTAATTTATTATTGGAAGGTGTGTTTCTGACCATGTAAGCTTAAAATTAAAAAAAAATTTCAAAAAAAAAAAAAAAAAAAGATGTACATAGTAAGAAAGAAGTAAACATGGTGGCAGTAGTGTGGTGATGTGGGCTTGATTTGCTACTTCTTGATGAAGGTTTTTATCTCTGACAGGCTGGAAAAAAGTCAATTGTGAAACAGCCTGTTACAATGAAAACCAAGATTCCAAGTAGAACCAAGTAAATTCTCTTATTTGACTGTAAAGAAGCTCTAAATATAATAATCAATATAAAGAAAAGTGGGTCAAATTTTCTCTATAGCGACTTAAAAGATGATGTTGTAGGGAGGAGCATACGTGGGGTTAGTCCGACCTCAAAGGGGTCCAATGGACCACAGTAGAGCCTTGGAGTTACACTAACACTGTCATGTTTTCATAATAATCTGCATTCGGCATTTGATCAAGACAGAAACAAACGTGGAATCCTATGTTCTGTTTTGGCATTTCTCTCTTGAAGCATTTCATTTACTGCTGTCAGTCTGCTCTTGAGGTTATGAAAAAAAGGAAGAAGTGATGAATTAGGGAGAGCGAGTTTAAAAAGGGGGAAAAAAACTTCAACACTTACACATGTGATGAGGCAATTTTACTTGATTCTTTCAATCAATGCTGCCCTTGTACAGTAAATGAACTCATTCACTTTAATTACAGAGGAAATCTGAGGCAGAGATTTGGAAAATCAAATAATATACTACTTGTAGCGACAAGAGCTGCGTTTAATTCATTTACAGAACATTGTATAAAGTGTGCTTCGCACCCTAGGTTCAGTGATTAGTACCAAAGTTGTTTTATTACTGCAGGATTACTTTATTTGATTCTTAAAAATTAGCTTCTCAGTGTTCTGAATGTTAGATTTGATTCCTCATTATAATGTTAGTCGTTTCTCCTTTCGGTAAAGGTATTCTATTTGTAAGAATCTGAACAGAATCTGACGTTTGCTGTCTTAACACAGCAAACGTCTCTATGCCTCAAACAAACACATTCAGTGGCTCTCAAACATTTACAACCTTTAAAAATGTTTGCTTTGTCACATTTATCACCAACTTTTTTTTTTTTTTTACCACATGATCTGTTGTGATACTTTAGGCCTTCCATGTGAAGAAGTTGGTTGCCTACATGTACCAGGGCAGCTTTGTTCCACAAAAAGCATATTTAGAGATGAAGCACTAATTGCTTAATTAGCTTTGTTGAATCTGTTGTCAAATGACATCTATTTTTCTCCATCAGGTCAGGTTTTTATTCTAATTTGATTTAGAGAAATTCCATCTTCTGACTAAATTGATGACGTTTTTGTGACAATTCCATTAAAATTTCTCATCCAAAAAAGGCTTTAGGGAAAATAAACTGTTTTCTAACAGAGTTTATTAATTAAATGTTACAAACTTGGAGATTTCTGTAAATTGAATAAAAAACACTGATAAGGTAAGTACATGTGACTTGAACATTACGTCTTCATTGTGTAAAATCCTCCGTCTCTTTTCTGTCCTGATGGAATCTCTCCTCCTGCTCATCACTTATTGATCAGATTGTCAGGAAACTGATCCAGATGTGAGAACAAGTCCTGCATTTTGATGCTCATTTTGTATCTATAACTCAGAAAGTTGACCTGATTGAGCAAAACCAATGTGATTTTTGGATTCAGCACTTCAGAATTACCCTAAAACACTTGAAAAACCCCAGACAGTTTTTTGGCTGTTGACCAGTGTAATCCATAATCACAGGTAAGGCTTCACTCGTCAGTGGTCATAATGTTATGCCTTTGGCATATCGGTTAGATATGTTTTTGGCAGGATCAATCTTTTGTTAAGTAATATCATTTTTAATAAGACAGTAAGTTAAAACAATAAATAAATCCGTTCATGCTTGGATACCAGGTCTGTGCCAGCTCTTTATTTGTGCTAACGGAACAGATTAAAGCCTGTTAAAATGTGAGTGAATATCACAATGACAAAAATCCTTAGTGGTTAGAGGGATTTGTATGAAATACTCTATAAAATATGGCAACTCTGATGTTTGTGGTAGGGTTTGGTGGTGCCAAAATCATAAACTTCTTCACAGCTCATGAACATTTTTTTATTTTTATTTTTGTTTTAAAGTCAACCAGGCATTGCTGTTGTACTATTTTGGTTCACAGCTCCAGAATAATGCAGGAACTTTAAGCTTGTGAACATCATCTCTTCTGCCATCTGGCTAGACAAGTGAGCCACACATGTGCTCTGATGTGAGCAGGACTGGCAGCCTGCTGGGAGTCAGGAGACACACAATCAATGGCTCGTGTTGTGTTTTCTTCCTGGTTGTGTGACAACACACAAGACTGGCAAGTAAACAGAGATGTCTGAGGGAACGGATCAGATCGGTTCTGAAGCAGTCAGTCAATATCTTACCAGCAGCAGGAAATATCTCCCAAGCATCACAGGCTAGGAAAATGTTGTGCACCATTGCATTTTGCAATTTGTGTTTGTGGTGGACCCTAGGCCAAGCTGATCTTTAGGATAGACAACTATGGGCTTTACAATCTGAAAATGTAAAAGTAGTGGGAGTAATGTTTGCATAAAAGAAAACATAAAAAAATAGATACATTTTGTAGTTTAGAAGTCAGCTTTGGATGTGGCTCTAGACTAGCTTTTAGGTGAACTTTTCTTTGTTTATTCAAACTAAGGTCTTTTTTTAACATAAGCATTTAACTGCCAGAGCTTGTGAATAAATTCAGAAGCAGCATCTCGTGCAAAACACGTTAAAATGAGAAATCACTATTGTTACATTAGCTCTAATGTCTCCACTGATAAAACACTTTGTCAGCGTAGACAGAGTGTTTGCACAGCGTAGCATGAAACTGGATGAGCTTATCATTGAGTCATTTCTGCAACATTTGAAAAGCGCTTCTGCACATTGCATAGCATCAACAGCATGTGTGGCACTTAGAACATACAGTTATTAAAATGTATCTAAAACCTGAGCCTACTTGGATTAGATGGTTATACCACTATATTTTCTATATTAAGCTGATCATAGCAATTCAGTCATACTAATCTTACATTCAAATGAAATGCGTTTTGGTTTCTTAGCAGTTGACCAACAAACAACTAGCAACACATGCTAATGGTATTTCAGTTCAAAGAAAAGGACAAGTTCACGTTCAGCAAATGCAGATCTTTCCATGTTTGTATTATGACGTCCTTTCTTTCATTTTATATAAAAAAGAAAACAGTACAAAATAAGCACATAAAACAGAACGCACTGATCTGCTCATTCTGTTTTACCTTGGCATGTGTCCCTCAAAGACGTAGGTCTTATTATCCCAGTCATCAGGGTCAGGAGCGTAGACCTTTCCAAGAACTGTTGTTGGCATGCGGCCTGAAAAGAGAGGCATAAATTAGCTGCTCTATACCTGTGCTTATGACACAACGTATTATTTTTGGCACCAATATTGCTGTTTGCCCATAATTTAAATGTCAGATGCATATTTTATGCTTCTTTGAACTTAGACCTCGAAATTCTGTCTAGGGTCGGCACTTTCTGACTCAACGAGACTTAAACTGCAACTGGCTGGACTTTCTTTCACAACTTTTCACTCACTGTGGATTTTAAGCTGAAAAGGGCTGTTTTATATTCCATCTATAAACAGACTGGCTTGAGTGACATAAAAATGTATTTGATTTATGGTGCATATGTGCAAAATTGGATATTTATTGTACCTGTTCTTCTTGTAAAGTGCCTTTTGCTGGGAATTTGTCAAAAATAAAATGATTAAAAACAAAACAAAAACAAACAAAAAAACAAAAACAAAGAGAGGACTGGATGCAAATGCTTCAAGTTTCATTCATTATTTTTTTTCCCAGCATGCATGGTTGGAATTGATTTGCCCAGAAAAATGATAATACAGATAAAAAAGCCTGGTCAGAATGTATAATGATTATAATCAAGAAGAAAGAACTAAAGGTCGTGAAAATGATTGAGAGTTTATCCTTCAAATATAAAGGCAGACCTTAAAACGATGAAATTTTAAGGTTGCAGTTCGTCTTTGCCAGGAGTTGTGAATGTGAAAGTTACACACGACTGAATAAAGTTGTTGTCATTCTTGGCCACTGACAGCAGGTATTTCAGACAAAACTAAATTAAAGTTCTCCCTGCTGTAAGAGGTGCAAAGCTATTCTTCTAATACCAGACAGAGTCGAAAAACATTTAAAAACCAAGAATCTTTTTCCTTCGGTTCTTGCACTACTTTAAATTCTAGAAGTAAATACACTAAAATTTGTGATGTTGTGTGAGAAGCTATGAAAACTCTCAAGCTGTGTCCTTTTCCAAGGCGGCCTGTGTTAAACACCCGCCAGGCAGAGGCTCGTAACATCCGTTCATCTCCTCACCTCTGTGGCTGTTGATGGATATCTGCTTCTCTCCGGCCATGTGAGCATGATCATTCTGGTCACCAATGGTTACAGTCAGGGTGCTGGTCACCGTTTTGGCCGGGTGACCACTGTCGCTCATGACGATGGGCAGGAGAAACTCCTTCTGGCGCTCGCGGTCGAACGTCCTGAGGGCCGTCAGCGTGGACGTGCCGTTCAGGTTGTCCTGGAGGTAGAAGTCGTTGCTGTAGCGATACTCCGGTGGGACGGTGAAGTGAAAGGGCGGACCGTTCTCGGGAGAGTCCCGGTCCACGGCTCGGAGGAGAGCCGAGGTTTGGTTCAACCTCACTATCTGAACGAGGAAGAAGAGTTTGAGGAGTTTGTTGCTTTTTCAAAACCACCGACACATTGTGTTATATTTAATGTTAGTAAAAATTTAAAGAAAAGAGAAATATTTTAGTAACCTGCAAACAATTTAAGTTTCTGGTTGTGAACTGATCATATTACACTTGAGTTAATTATGTGTTTATACCAAAATTACATGTTTGCTTGTTTTTGTTGTTTGAGTTTTATTTAATTTCTAAAATAATTGTTTCAGTGGTACAACAAAGTGACGTGTGGACCGCTGTAAGGATAGCGGAAACATTGATGCAGCTAAATGTGGATCGTAACTAAACTAAACTAAAGTAAACTAAACCATTGCACCTAATAATCCGTAGAGTCCAGCCTACCTGTGGACCAGCCACATTCTCAAAGACGACAGGAGAGTAGGCAGCCTCAAACTCTGGTCCGTTATCGTTAACATCCAATAGGGGCAGCTGAACTGTGGCGCTGCCTGTCAAAGCAGGCATCCCGTGATCTGTTGCTATGACAACCAAGTGATGCTGCGCTGTTTTCTCTCGGTCCAATGGCCGAGCCACCGAGAGTAGGCCGGACTGGTCGATGGTGAACAGGCCCTCAGGGTCCGAGTCTTCTGACAGACTGTAGGTGATTTCGCGGTTCTGGCCCGAGTCCGAGTCACTGGCCACCATACGGGCCACGCTGGTTCCCACGCTGACGTCCTCTGGTAGCGGCGCAAGGGACAGGAAGTGTGGAATGAAGACAGGAGTGTGATCATTGTAGTCCTCCACCTCGACCACACAGTGCAGAAAGCTGGAGAAGTCCAGATCCTCCACCTGGAAGACGAGACGCACAGTGTCATGTTTCATAAGGACAAAGAAAAACACTGACTTTATGACAGGCAAACAGAGTTTTTCCAGCTTTCCTTTTCACTGAAATGCAATTCAGTATGTACAAGTATAAAAATATTAGTGGCGGGACTTGATTGAAACAGAGAAAAACAAGAATCCAAGCCGATATCAAACCTCGGCCTCATGACAGTAAACAAAAAGCAACAGACGGAAATATTTCACAGGCAGATTTAAAGATACTTTTGTGTACCTTCAGGGTGAGGTTGAACTTCTGTTCGCTGTGTCGCTCGTAGTCCAAGCGCTTCTTCAGCCTCAGGACTCCACGCTGCTCCTGCTTGTGACTGACCATGTAGAACTTCTGCTCTTGATCTCCGGCCACAACGCTGAAGGTCAGCTGAGCGTTTTCTCCAGTGTCTCTGTCCTCTGCAGCCAGCTCCAGAACCTTACAACAAAAGGGACATTGTGAAAACGATGCAGGTTCTGTGCATGATTGGAAATGGCTGGAATTTACAGAAGTTCTGTCATTTTGCAAAATTCACAGTGTTCTGCAGTATAAGGTCAGAGCACCAACTGTACAGGTCATCATCCTGAAGAGCTTAGAGAAGAAGGCTAGATACATTCAAAAGAAGAATATTGGCATAATTTTGGGCTTTTAATAATTAATTTGAACAATTCTTCTTTTGGGATGATGACACAATAGTATCAGTGAACATTTTGTGAAAGTTTCAATTCATATGGATTTTGTCTAAACCACATAACACTGAAATTAAACAAATATATGTAGATAAAAGCTATGAGTTAGGATGACCAAAACAAAACAGGCGTTTCATCAAGTTTCTGGCTCAGTGGAGTTCATGTCATTTGGTTGATTTCCTGGAGCAAACATGTTTATGTGATTCTTTATGTGACTGGTGTCCTAATTAATGTTATTACAGATGTTTGTCTAGAGTGGTGTTTGTGTCTGTGATTGCTGCCATGAAGTCACAGCCAAACAGTTATCTCAAAAAGAAACAATAAATATTTCTTACTATCACTTTAGTACCACAAAATATGACAATAAATCTTAAAGCCCATATTGACCAGCCTTCATGGATGCAGGTTTAACATGAAGATGGACTGAGAGGGAACCAACCAGGATCCAAATTCAACACTATCAAATAAGACTGGAGATTACAGCTGGCCACACAGACAGAGGAGGAAAAGATGGAGGTGTTTGACCACAGCGACAGGAAGAACCACTTTCAAACACTGTAGGCCTCCTAACTGTCAAACATGGTAATGATAGGAACATGCTTCCAGTATTACCAATGAAGACATAGGACTCTGCCTACTTCACCTTTAATCTGTTTCTCAAGTTTATTGTTTAATCTTACCAACTGAAAAGCCATTGGCAAAAGAACAAAAATCTTGTGGCTTTTAATACTGATGATAAAAGCTAAAAACATTTGACTGCCACTCCATGTCCCAGATCCATGACTCGCAAACAACCTGCTAAAGATATACCAACATCCAATGGAGTAACTACTGAACGACTACCACTCACGACAATTACTACAAATGACATTATTAAATTATATATCCAGCCTCTGAAATAACCGATCTTGTCCAGAAATCCAAGCCCTCCACATGCTCAGTAGATCCTTTCCCAACAGTTCTTGTAAAACAATGCCTTTGTTCCCTTCTGTTTCTGCCATCATCCACTCCTCTCTTTCATCTGGAATTGTTCTTACTACCTTCAAAACTGCAGTTGTTTCTGCTATCCTTAAAAAACCTGGATTGGATCCAAACCATTTCAATAATCTAAGCCCTATTTCTAACCTTCCTTTCATCTCCAAAATTCTAGAAAAAACATTTGCCTCTCAACTCCATCTCCATGTAACCAAGAGCAGTCTGTATGAACAGTTCCAGTCCGGTTTTCGCCCTGGTCATTGCACAGAATCTGCTCTCCTCAGAATCACTAACACTCTCCTCATGGCATCAGATTCAGGTTTACTTTCTCTTCTCATTCTCCTTGATCTCAGTGCAGCTTTCAATATCATCTCTCACACAGTCCTGCTCCACAGACTCTCTTCCATTGGTATCACACACAAACCAAGCTTGGTTTCAGTCATATCTCTCTGGCTGCACTCAGTTCATCCAACTTAAATCATTCAAATCCCATCAATCCCCAGTGGCTTCAGGTGTGTCCCGGGGCTCTGTCCTGGGACCCCTCCTTTTCATCATCTATCTTCTCCCCCTTGGCAATATTTTTCGTAAATTTAACATACACTTCCACTATTTTGCCGATGACACCCAGCTCTTTTTATCCACTGCACCAGATTTTTCCTTCCCTTTCTTCTCACTCACTTCTTGTTTAGATGAAATAAAATCCTGGTTTGTATCAAATGTCCTCAAATTAAACAGTTACAAAACAAAGTTTCTACTATCTAAAGTCAACTGACAGTTCTCTGGTCTCGCCAACCCAAGTTAAGAGTTTGGGTGTCATTTTTGACAGTACTCTCTCTTGTCACTCTCATATAAATAATATTATCTGGCCTGCGCACATCCACCTCCGTAATATTAACCGACTTCGTCCGTCACTCTCCCTCCACTCTGCTTCCGTCTTGGTCCATAATCTGGTCATTTCTCCAATGTATTATTGTAATTCTCTCCTGGTTGGTCTGCCTCAGAAATCTCTCTGTAAACTTCAACTGGTTCAAAACTCTGCTGCTCATATCATTACCAAAACGGCCTCATTTCACCAAATTCTACAACAACTTCACTGGCTTCCTATTTCATTCAGAATTCAATTTAAATTCCTGTTGTTTATATTCTAGGCAATCCACAACCTTGTGCCTCCTTATCTGTCTTATCTTCTGCACATCACCACCCGTTCATGTTCCCTTTGTTCTTCTTCTTCCGTCCAGCTCAGTGTGCCTCTTGTCCATCTCACCACCGTGGGGAAAAGAATCTTCTCTTACTCTGCTCCCCAACTCTGGAACGCTCTTCCCCCTGACATCCGTAATATTGACTCTCTTCTGACCTTCAAAGCACAACTCAAAACTCATCTGTTCAACTAGTTAGCCTTCTCACTTTAACGGTGTAGTTATTTTGTGGTTTTGTCTCTTTGTAGCCATTTATTTACTGTTTAATTTGTGTTTTTATTTTGTAAAATGTCCTTGAGAGTTTTGAAAGGCGCTGACAAATTAAATGCATTATTATTATTATTATTAAACATTTTAAAGAACCCTCATGATTTTACTCTTCAGTAACTGGAAGCATGAACGTTACAAATTACACATCTCAACAGGAATAAAAGCTCACTTTAAGCCTAAAGAAACTCCACAAAGCCCTGATGAGCCTCTCGTCAGTTACGCCTTTTTGATCAAATGAACAATTACTGATGCTGAACTCTGACTTTGTTGTAAAGCTGACTAATGACTCAGCAGAAGCGCTGAGCGCTGCCGCGATATCCACCTTACCTCTGCTGCAGGACAAGTTCCTGTTTAAAAAAAAAAGGAATTTGTGCAGATTAAAAAACAAATTAGTTCCACTTAAGTTATCAACAACTACCAGCTGGCATGTTTAGGAAATGACTTTGGATCAGAGCCAAAATTCTGATACATCTGAGCATTTTTGAGTCATTAAAAGCTGCAAACAGGTGCAGAAAGTAGATGGTCTAGACTTTCATATCTTGGTGAAACATTTAAAACCCCTCAAGGTTTAATGTATACGAGCAAAAACAATCAGGTGTGAAATCTACATTTGCATTTATTCCTACTGAGGAGTAAGAGCATGCTTTGAGTAAAATAAGCTAAATTTCATCCGTTAAAGCCAGTGTTGACCCACCTGTGCGTTGGGCTCTGAGTTTTCAGAGATCCTTGCCTGACAGGAATGATCGATGAACCTCGGAGCGTGGTCGTTGACGTCCGTAATCTGAACGGTTGCAGTTCCAGTTCCCGTCATCCCTCCTCCGTCTCTGGCCTCGACGAGGACGAGGTAGGACTCCACCTGCTCCCTGTCCAAACCACCCAAGCCCACGGTGATGGTTCCCGTGGTGGGGTTGATGGTGAACATGTCTGAGATGGTGGGCACTCCTCCCACTTTGGCGTTTGTGGCATCTAAGATGCCCACGATCCTGTAGGAGAGCACAGCGTTCTGTCCCACCGCCGAATCGTCCAGGTCAGTGGCAGTCATCTCCATGACAGACGTTCCGATCGCAGAGTTCTCCGCTACATCTCCGTGGCAACTGAGGGCGCAGGGGAATACGGGAGCGTTGTCGTTGATGTCCCACACGTTGATGATAACGTCCGTAAAGCCCGTTAGGCCTTCGCCGCCCTCATCTGTTGCCAGGACGACAAAGCGCCAGACGGCACGTTCCTCGCGGTCCAGCGTCCTCTGGGCGTAGATCTTGCCAGTGACCTCATCGATTATGAATTCGCTCTCAGCGCCCTGGCCATGGAGGGAGTACCGCAGGGCCTCCTGGTCGGCATCCTTATCTGGGTCAGATGCTGTTACCTAAAACGTCACCAGCACAGGGAGAACATAACCAGAGCTTTATTTATTTATTTTTTTTAAATGCCAGACGGTTGCTGAAATACTGCTGAGGTGAAGAGATTTCATGAGGAAAGATGTTCAAATGTTGTTCTGCTCTGTGGAGCTAAGCACTCTACCAAGAAAATCCCTCCCCAAAACTATCTAGCTCAGGATATAAAATAAGGGTGGCAAATGTTTTGATTTATATACAGCAATGTAAAACTAGAAAAAGTAGAATTGGTCCATATGTAGCTGAAACCAGAAGTGTTCTCACACTGAATAAAACAACACATACACCCTTTTTTCTCACTGTCTCTTGTTTTAGGTCAGTTGGAATCATCAAAATTACTTCTACTTGTTAAATGTCATAATAATGAGAGAAAGAATGTGTCAGAGATTTAATAATTAGAGTCTTCTAAATGAAAGTTTTACTGTCTCTTTAAACGAGAGAAAGTCCAGATTATGTCATGGTTTTGAAAGTCTCTGATAGGTTGACTGACATGTTCAAGTTAATCTTTATTCTGTGTATGTAAACTTCTGGTTTGTACTATATCTTTACATTCTTAAAGGAATGTTCTTACACCACTGTTATCTTCCATGAACATCCAGACCTTTTTGCATTCCTGAGTAGACTAGAAAACTGTTATTCTCTGACTATTCCAAAATGTAGATTCTTCCTCTTCATGAGTTCTTGTAATTTCTTCCATGTACCCTGGAGGTGACCTGCTTTGATGGCATGAAATGTTTTCACAACAGAAAATGCAAACACCACATCTAGAACAAACTCTGGAGTAAGTATATAATGGAGGAATTGTCCACACCTTTGAGTCAATTGCTAAAATATGAAAAAGATAAAAATAAAAAAATTATAAAAAATAGCACTTCACTTTTATAATTAATGTGATCGTTTTTTAATTTCTATTGTACGTTGTATACCAAAAGCAGACTGTATTGTTACCGCCACTGTTGAGAATAAATAATTCTGTGATTTCCTCCATCGTTTTTAGCTATTTGCATCCCTGTATATACACACACACACGCACCTAGAGCACAAAGCTAAGGCTAAAGGAAATGAAATACTAGGGAACGCCTTCTTTAGGGGGTAGCTTAGATAAAGGCTAACAAAGAGAACTACAAACTGTTGTTAGATGCCATTTTGCTCTGTTAGCCCATAAGGATAGCATGAACCATGAACCAGCGCTGTGTATTAGCCTTAAATAGAATTCATGAATTCAAATTACTGACTCTTCTATAGATATTACGATATGAATATCAAACCGTATCACATATCCCCAGTACCTGCAGGACAAAGACAGGCGAACCGTCCAGCTCCTCGGTCACACTGCCGTAGTACTCGTTCACTGTGAACACGGGCGACTCGTCGTTCTTGTTCACCACGTTCACCGTCACCGTTGTGTAATCCTCCCACTTTCCGTCTGAAGCCAGGACATGCAGCTTGTATCTGAGGAAAAGTTTCAAATTTCAGAAACGAACCGTCCTCAGTCTGAAGTCTTGTGAGTCACATTTTAATGTAGCAACTTCTCAGGCAACAGCCTTTTAAATCGAGGTCCATGTTCAGAAGATCAGCAAAAGAAACATCGTTTAGTCAGTTTTCCTGTGGCAAAACTAGAAAATCTAGTCATGTATATTTACTCATTAGTCAAAACTCTCTTTATCTGATAATTTTGTCATTTTAAGGGACAGTATTATGTGCCTGGGAAACCCCCAGGCACATAGTTTCATTTTATTTCAAAATTGAGTAAGTTAGTTTATGGCAAATCTGACTTAAAGAAATTTGACTTTGTAATTTAGCACCTGGAAATTGGGGCCCTGTGTCTTTAAGAAGCTCTTGCTTTCTGAAACTCCACCTTCAGGAAGTCACCACTACGTCACTCATCAGCCCTTAATGTTTTTACCAGCGCTGCACTGAGATGGGCAGCCATGGGTTGAGGTTCACAAACGTCTTCTTTCCATTTTCAACGCAAAGCTTGAAAATGGAAGCTTTGCGATAAGGTGGCAGCCTCTCCTGGGGCTGCCACCTTATCGC